AGAGAGAGAGAGATGAACCGAAGAAAGTGACTTTTGAAAGGATTAAGATTATTTTGCTGTGTCAACCAAGGAGAATAGTTGTTCTCTTTCCATAGCCAAATGATAGTAATATAGTCAAAGAAGGCTACGGACTACTCTCGATATCCAGTAATAACTTCCACAACCATGTTGTACATTAGTTTCCATTTAAAAGTGAAGTCTTCAACCTCCCACTCCACAAACACAAGAAAAGAAAAAGAAAAAGGAAAAAAGAAAAAAGATTCAACAAGATAAGAAGAAAAAGAACTGAATTACGACACTAAGTAATTTACCTTGTCGATCAACTGGCACAACTTCAAAGTCCATTTCTGCATCTGCAACAATATTAGGGGTCTCTCTCAGCTGTCGCTTCTGCTCTTCAGGAGATGAAAGCTGCTGCACTCTGTCAATGCACTCCAAGAGCGTTTAATCATCACAAAGCACAGGTTAAGAATCACATTTCTCAACATTTAAGAGAGAGAGAGACGGAAAAGGAGAGGGAGAGGTTTCCTTGTTGCATTCAAGCAATCGCAAAGCAGTGTTCAGCCTTCTCGGGCACAGAAATAATCAGAAAAATAAAGAGAAGACAGCTTGAACAACTTATTTTGCACTCCTTTATTTGTCTTTCAATTCCAATATTTTGAATGATTTTTTTTTTTTTCTGAATGAATGATTCAATTCCAATATTGTCGCAAAGGATATTCCCTGCGCCACCCTTTTTCTTTAGCTCTAGCAATTATTCTCTTGAGCATTTCAATCTCTTTACCAATTCCCTGCAAATCAAAGCATAATCATTATTGCAAATATATAGAAACGTTACTAGCAAGCAAGATAGTATGGAAATAATCAATCTCATTATTTTAGAACAACCCCCCCCCTACCCCCTCCCAGCCTCCCTCTCTCGTTTTTTCATTTTTTATAAAATAAGATTAGCACTGATACGCTTTATTGGGACTCTGCTTTCAAAATATTCCAAAGCTTTTGGACACATAATACCACCTTCATGAAACTAAGGGCAAATATCAACTACATTTCAAAGTGCAAGACCTTATAAGGAGTATTCTAGCAAATCCTTTGTTATAATTTGTTACTATAATATTCCTGGAAAATGGATGAGTTGAGAACATACATGAATGGTTATTTCCTCATGTAGAACCTCAGCCTTTCTTTGAAGTTCTTCCTGCAGAAAAGCATAATGAATTTTCTAATAAGAAGCACTTTTGGGAATGTATGTAATATACCTTCTTTTTGCCAAAGGAAACTATGCGGAGAAGCATGATGCAGACTGCATTCCAATCCCATCAAGAGAATTTATACTGCTTTGACTCGCCTTGCAAATGTTTCCATACTTCAATGCATGATTAGGGAGACAATAGTTTAATACAAGAATGGGAGTTGTGCTAATAGGGTTGGTTGTTCTACATGTGTATGAATTTATGTTATGATGTATATATGTATGTTATGTACAGTTTGAATGGTACATCAGTAATTATACACTTCTGTAGTTTCCTAGGCGTAGCTTAGTCACAGTGCATTGTAATGCAATACATAAGAAAATTTTCTAATCAGTAATCCATTTCATTCTGGTGAAAGATATCTGCAAGGTTTTGAGGGTTCTCTGCATCTTCTCCAACAATTATCTTTTCTGCATCTCCTCCAACAATTATCTTCTTCCTCTTGACATCTCTAACATGGTACTGAAGCAAGACTCAATAGCTTTTGAAGAAGTCAAAGGCTGTGGAAGTTCGAACAAAAAGCACTATTTATGCACAAGGGATGGTCCATTGCGAGACTTTTTTTTTTTTTTAATTCTGCTTGTGAATAGTTGGTCCATTGGGAAAAGTTAAGGCCTCAAGTGACTCATAGCCTGTCCAGCAAAGTTTGGGGTGAAATTTGGACATGCTTTGACCTACATTGAGATATTTTTCAGGATCTTATGGGAATTTTCATTTGGAGTTTTCTAATAGCAGCACTTCAAGCAATTCATACTGGGCCATGTGGGTGTTTCTTTGTTTTGAACATCTATTGCTAACTATCTTGTTGTTCTTCATTTGGTATCTGGGAGTACCATTGTTTGCGCTTAAGTATACAAATTTAATTTCTTCTAATTTGTTTGGACTCTACACGCACAAATTTTGTACATCTATTCACTTTTTCTTGTTTAAATCCCCAGTCTGTATTTTCTGAAAAAACATCCCCGGTATGTTTGGATGCTCATATTACCATTTTAGTATATGCCTAAATGAAGAGAGGCAAGATCGGTTGCCAAGGCCAATGCCAAGACAGGGAACTGGATTATGAGGGGGAATTTTGCTCACATTGCCAGACTGACTATAGCATGCACTCTGGAGGCATTGGGATCACTTAGACATTGAAATAATCCTTCATATAGATGTGTAAAAATATATTCCTTTATGGCAATCTGTAGAAGGTATCTACGCCTCCTGGTTAAATGTTCTAATCCAGACTACCATAAAAGAAGGCACTGCATGGTCTCCAACCAGCCTATCATACCTGGCTGGAAAAATTGACAATTGTGAGGCTGGATATCACTAGAATGATTTGGACTATCCCACTTCACAAGCCATATCACAAGTAGTGTCCTTTTACTTGTGTATGGTACCTATCCAGAATTTTTTTTTTCTTGTTACATAAAGAACATGCTTCAGAATTTATTATGAATGATCCGGTCATCCTAGAACTCAACATACGGAAGTAATCTCATGAGTTGGCACATGGAGGCCTAAGAGCTTACTGATTTTGCTCATCTCACATATCAAAAGAATAATTGATAGGCCTCTGGAACTGAATCTCATACTCCAAGGAGGATGGAGAGCATAGAGGATATCACATTCTCTATAGAGTACCAAGACATTTTTGGAAGCCTTGTTTATCTTTCCATGGACAGTCCAAACATTATGCATGTTGTGCACACAATAAGTAAATTGGATATACTTCCTGTGACAGTTGACTGTTCCTCCCACTCACTCCCTCGGGCAAAACCCAATCTACGAGCATATTTAAGCCCCCAAATTCCAGGGATGCAACCTCTCCAACCCAGCGACCAACCTTGAAGGGACAAAAAAAGAAAGTAAAAGAAAAAGAAGAATCAAACACAGTTTGTATGTGCCTGAAAAAATAGCATCTTATGGTTGAATTGTGACTGTCCAATTTTTAGATGGTCATATCTAAGCATCTAAGAACTCAAAATCCAATTTTTCCCTTGACCCTGAAAGTAGTCACTGGTGATTCTTAGGTGGATCCCAAAGCTTTAGATCAAAAAGGTCTTCCTAAGTAACTCTTTCACCCCAGGGAAAAAAGTGTACAGTATACTCCCACGGGAGCATAGCATATATGCCCCCAAATGAAACACTGCCTAATATTAAGAAAGATTCACACATTATATATCCCGTATTTTATGTAATTGATTGCAAGACTTTCCCTTATTCTATAAGATCTACAATAATGATGTTCATTAAACAAGAACAGGATCATTTTAGCAATTTGAATATAAAAGGAGATGCATCATTAGGAGGGTCTTTAATCTTAAATGAATCATGAGAGAATCAAGAGCAGTTTTGGATTCTTGCCCATTGGAAACGAGAAAGGCAGAAAATTTCTATTGAAACATTTAATTACCTCACGTAACACAAGCACTACATTCAATAAATGGACATATTCTAACAAATAACAGTAGGTTCCTTTAATCAAGCACTAGGACAATGGATGCCAGCCAAACTCTTTGGCAGGGATGGTACAACGTTGGGGGACCTTCTAGGAAGCCCTTCTTACACACTTAAAAAAAACCAAATAATTTTAAATTAAGAACACACGCACACAGACATAGACACACACAAACGCACACACACACATGCATACAAAAAGGCAGACACACACACATGCATGTATACGCATACAAAAAGGCAAACGCACCAACACATATGCATGCACATGCACACATGCATACAAAAAGGCAGAGAAGATACTTTAGTTATTGGAAATCAATGATATCAATTTTTATGCACTGACATCAACCCATAAAACCATATTACTATCATAGCCTTAAGATAATCCTAGTAACTGAAAGATGCAAAACAATCGTACCACAGTTGGCCTCTTGAGAAGACCCTTTTTCATGCTCTGGCGCAGTTCTTCACACTCTTCCTGTCTCAAGGAATAGAAAAGAGCAAGATTTTAAAAGGCAATTTGTATGAGAATATGAGTAAAAGATTACGTAGTTCAATTCTGAAAGTAGGGTGGTCAATCATTAATAGTTTCCTGTTTCTTTTATTAGGTAATAACACAAATTATTGTATCTTATTGACAAGAGCGATAACAACGATAATTTCGTGTCATATAGCCATTCCCATTTTTCTTGATTCGAACACATTGACGGAATAAGTGAATATGCAACTAACAACTTAGAAGCAGTTCCAAAATCAACAACTAGAACCTAACCAACAAAAATATTTCTTTATTTTTACTTAATGAGAAGTTAGGATAATAATTTTACCAGGACCTCGATATTATAATGATGACCAACGACACCATCCATTAAACAACTTGTATCATATCAAAGAGAAACGATCTTCTTTTTAATGCAAGTTTCATTTTCAGATAGGCAACTTGCATTTAAATGTAAATGGATAGAACGCAAAAATGGCTATAATATAAATATATTGTATGCCCAATAATTTGCAGCTCTCTACCAACGCAATCTTTAGTCAGGAAGCAAAACCTCAATGGCATCCTGAGCAGACTAGAAGGGGTGTGTATTATAATCTGATCTTTGATAATTGACATCCTATCGTAATGTCCATCATATATCGTTGAATACATGCAGTTCCAAAGTGATAACCACAATCCTTTGGTATCATAGACTTCATAGAGAAATCCTCAAAAGACTGTCAAACTAACAATACCATTTGGAAAAATGTTTCCAGCAAAAAGACTAGCAGATATCACTTTTAATGTTTCCTTGGCACTAAATTTCTGCTCATCATCCCCAATCGTCATTTCTAGTATGCACAAGCTCTTGATAACCATCAACACTTCAGGATTAAATCTCATATAAAGCATCCTAAAAAATTCACTGGGAAACATGTAGATGCAGGATCCCTCCCCCAACACACACAGAATGAGAGAGAGAGAGAGAGAGAGAGAGAGAAGAGAGAGAGAAGAGAGAGAGAGATTGCAGCTATATTGGTTTTTGCGGATGATGAGAGCCAGTGAATTACATCTATGTTAAATCTTCCAATAAAAGGTAATATTGGCTTCTCTGAATTACAAGATTCTTCTATATTTTTATATTGAGACACAGCTGCTTCGTGTGGCCTTACTCAACCGAGACGGCGTCACACTCGGGATCAGGACCCTGGAGATCCAAGCCAAGTCCAGGTTTTTAAATACAGATATCATATGAAGCATCAGTTTGGCTTCGCATCTCCTACATTGGCTTGTGTTTTTTGTAATTGTTTTAATATAACATATGAACCAGCAAAAACAAAATATAGTGTCAAATTCTAAAATATTCATTACAAAAAGAAAAGAAAAGCAAAAGCAAATGAAAAGAATGAAACTTATCAACCTCAGAAAATTCGTCATCTGATATCAGGGAAATGGGAACATCCTTCTCTGAATTAGACACCTTCAGGACAATGTCTTTACTGGTCATCCCCACTTTTAGATCGTCCAAGGACCTTTTTATGCCTGAAAAAAATATAGTAGTAAACTTTATATTTAAAATTAGGCTCAGGATAGTTTCTACTTAATTAGTTTAAACAACATAAAAGCATGTTTCCTGCTTCACTTGTGGAGTTGGTTTTGCTGAAGTACATCACAAGATCTAAAAGCCACTCTTGCCCGACGATTTTTATTTAAATAAACATAGCTTCACCTTAGAAGGGGGAGGGGGGTGGATGAGGGCAACAAGTCATTAAAGTGCTTACCAACAACTTGCACAAGTTCATAGTTATTCCTTTTCTCTTTGCCATCACTCTTGACCCGTACAAAACACCCAACAACTTTACTTTCAAATGTCTCAAGGTTGTCATAGAACTTCTCGAGTAAACTCCTCCTCAAATAAATATATTTGATATTTTTTACTGAAACACGAGCATAAACACCTTTAGGTATTTCCAGATCCTCATCAGCATTCTTTCCTGGCCTTCTGGTTTCATGGCAAGAATCTGAACAACAGGATACGTTTACCAGTGTCAGTGCATGTGTGTGTGTGTAAGCAAGAGAGAGCGAGCGAGAGAGAGAGAGAGAGAGAGAGAGAGAGAGAGAGAAAGAAAACCTGAGAGGCGTTTTCTCTTACTACTAGCAGCAGGATTATCTTCATCAGAAGATGTTTCCGAGCTTGACTCCTCTTTCTGACTTGCAGCAAGGTGACGCTCTAGAGAGTCGCAGAGTCTCAGACGGTGGAGTGACTTTTTACCAAGAAGAGAACGCAACCTTGTATCGCATAATATCCTACTCTTTTTGTTGGGTTTCACAAGTTTGTTTTCGTGAATATATTCCCTAACTATTTCATAGACTTTCACGTGATCTAAGGGTTTTTCAGTATCCTTGCCAATAGATTTAAGAAAGCTAATGAGTTCCTTTGAGCCCCAACCAATGAACACCATTTTACCAGACTTGCATTTCTTTCCATATTTCTTAGAGTTAGGTGCCATCTTCTTCCTCTTGGTTTTCTCTTCCATTGATAACCCATCACTTTCTAGGTCTAATTTATATTCCTTGTCTTCTTCTCCTCGATTTTTAAGTAGCATGTCCTTCGAATATTTTCCATCCATTATGAACTTAGACTTCTTTAAACGGTCATATGCCGCCTGCAAATTCTCCAAAATTATGTTCTCTTTCTGCTTTAAACCAACCCAATAATCCTTGAATAAATACTCATAAGTTTCTGTGTCATTGAAGTCCACTTTGCCCTGTGAAAATGTACTGAAGGTCAGATAAATGGGTGAAGATAAGTTTAAAAAGAATTTGAATATCGAGGAACCATCTAATACACAAGAAAATGAAAGAATTTATGTGTATAGAACAGTTATCATATCATTCAGAGTCGTCATCATCATCAGAGTCTTTTGCCAACTATTTGGGGTCAGCTTATCATATCATACAGGGTATATGTTTTTAAATAACATGTTCTTTTCCACAGTTGCTCATGTACTTGTCTACGTTGATGGTACATTCCATTTTACATATGTAAAGTGTGAGTACCAATTTAAAAGTAAGGTAGCACTTGTCATCTATTTTAGCAGACATAAGCAAGTATGGAAAACAACCTACCCATCACAAGAACAATAGAATGAAAATTAGAAAACTAAGTCCAGAAAGTGCACATGTGAGGAAATTTTTATAATGTTCTGGATAGCAACCATAACAGTTTCGATCCATTAAATAGTCAATAGATAAGCAATTAATTGACTGAAAAGCAACGACCTTTCTAGGTTATGGGATACAACAAACAATTGACATCCAAAAACATAAAGACGAGCATAACCAGGTAAATAACTATTGAAATTCCTTCAATTAAGTGAACCACCTCTGGCCCCCAAACTACTTCAAACACGGAATGGCAAAAGTCAGGAACATGTAGTTTATATGATATGTCCATGTTTGTCTTGTGTTTTACCATTTTGATCAGGGACATACTCATAATGTAACCTAATCTATCATGCCATGCATATAAACATGATTCAAAAGCATTTCAGACTTCAAATATCCACTTTAAAAATAAACCCATCTATAGTTTAATTAAATTCCATAAAAGCTTGATCCTGACTCTCAGAGTATAAGAGAAGGGCCAGAAATATCCAAATGAACGGAACAAAAAATCGCGTAAATTTATTCACAGGAATGGAAAATGAAATTCTAAAAAAGCAATGAAACAAAGCTACTTATCAAAAAAATGGATCGTTGAATACTTAGCCACGTATGTAAAACATTTTTACTCAGATCTGGAAAGGATTTATGAGAACCAGACCGCATGTTCTTACTCGGCTGAAATAGTATTAGAATCAGACTGCACATTGAGTGTCTGGTACGGTCATTTGCAATCGGAGTGATGGTCAAGCTGGTTCGGCCCCCTTTTTTTTATCAAAAAAGGAAAAATAGAAACCTGAGGTGAAAAAGAAGAAATTTTACACAAAAGTCTGAAGTTTGAAAAGATGGAAGAAGGAAAGAAATAAGAGAGGGCTTTTAACATGGCAAATGGAGGAAAAGAGGGAGAACCAGAAGAGAGAGTGAGAGAGAGAGAGAGAGAGAGGTGGGGAGAGAAAGGGAGAGAAGGGAAATAATAAGGCAATTATAGAGTTGTTCAACTGATATGGAGAGAGAAAAATAGATTGGTTTGACATACAGAGCTAAAAGAAAGATTTGTTGGACAATTATGTCATGAGAAAGATAAGTTTGCTTTGTCAAGATTAATAGCCAATCCATTGTATATTGCACGCACGCGCATAAGATTCCTAAAAAGGAGATGCCACGAAAGGAAAAACAATTAAAAAACAAAAAGGGCCATAAATGACAAAAGGACCCGGCGGTTTCTATGAGTCCATGAAGAAATGAGGCACCGCTTAAAAATCTATTTTTGAGATAGATTTTTGGACTTAATTTTTAACGACATGTAATCTCTAACATGAAGATCATGAATATGAAAAAATAAATAAAATTTGAAAATTAGAAATAATAATTCTATTAAGAAAACATTTGGATCGTTAGTTTCAATTGTTTTTAGATGGACCACCTATTTGCACATCCATCTTTAAGAAGGATGCTTTATACCTCTGGACCACATATGTAGAAATGCGGTCCAACCCGCATGAAACAATTTTCCATGACAAAATGGGAGTGATTCGTTCACCATGGACTGGGTGAATCAGCCGGTGCAATGGTAGGCAGGAGCAGGAACTAGGGATTGTTGGTTGCTAAAAGTTTCCAAACTGGGAGCGCCATGGAAGAATCCATACAATAAAAAGAATAAAATAGAAAAAATTAAACGATCGAAAAAAGGTGAGGACCTTAAACTTTCCCTTAACCTGTCCTGGGCTCGAGGAAAGGAGGTGGGTTGCATTAAGTAGGTAGCCAACATAAAACTTTGCCACATCTTATTATGATAGCCGACCCCAAATCATCGGAATTATGATGATTGAAAAAATTGTGATGCTTAGTTTCTCCCTCAAATTTGGTCTCAAATGAAAATGTTCCCTCTTCTTTAAAACCCAAAATTTACCTTATGGTGCATTCTGTAAGCCCCCAGTAGAGCTCACCAAAAGAGAGAGGCGGCTCTTTCTTGACAACATCGGAGGAAAGATTTCAAGGAATGTGTTCCTAAGAGAATGGGAACACGTTCCCTCTTCTGAACTGCAGAACCGTGGTCCAGGAGTAGGAGTGCCAACTTAGACAGAAGATCCCTGTACTATACTGATACAACTGTTCTAAAATGACGTGTATATGAACTTATTGAGCCTTCTTGTGACAAACAACTATTCATAACCAATAGAGGATGGGTCCATCAAGGCTCCCTGATTAGATGCAGAGATGAATACCATTAATGGAGTTATGCCCCTGCAACTAGTCCAAGATCTTCCTCTAGCTAAAAAATTGTTCACAATTAGTGCAATGGTACAACTTTAAGCGCTCCCTGCTTCTCTAATAGTTTTGAATGAGCTCTTCTCAAGTCTATCTATCCTCAGCCATGAGACTAACATAGCTTAACACAAACCATTAGGAAGAAAAGGCTCATGTCATCAAGCACCACTGGTTCATCAACCATTTCCAGGCCCAATAAGATTTTGAATCCCTTGATCAACCTACCATTCATTACTTACATCATCAATCATGGCAGACACTAGTCACAAATTAATATCAGGGGAGTCTCAATTTTGGTTTATGAAGATTGTAATTTAGGTTATTAGAACCATGACTGAATGTTTATGTTTACTTCCATAATGAGGGTCAGGGTTACAATTTTGGCAGGATTGGGTCACCAGGACCACAAATGCAAAGGTTCGAACTCACTATTGGGTTGCGAGATTCACTGCTCCTGTAAATTTTCGAGAACTAAAGGGAAGCTCATTCTAACCATCCAATTCATTTGTGACCCATTATCCCAGGGGGTCAAACTGAAGTGTGATGCCCTCATTACCTAAGGGACTGGTTAACATAACACTCAATAGCATAAATTATCCTATGCAAACTTTCCTACTTATCCCCATACAATACATATAGATACTTAAGTTTTCCAAGGCATATATAAACATATCAAATATACACTGCAAAATAGTAATCTTTGACTCTGTTTTTTTTTTTTTGCGTTAATTGAAGAAATACAGAGCATGAGAATTTATTATGAAATATTATAGGCCAGGTCATCAAATTTTAAGGGCCAATTGATCAAATTAATTCTAGATAAAGGCCAAAATTATCAATCCACCTGCTGAAAAACAAGTTCATTTTCACTCTAGATGAGAAGGTAAAATGGTATCAATCCCTGTATCACAAAGACAGAAACTAACAAAACATACATGCAGCACAAACAAAGTACTGAATAAAGCCAGAGTTCATGAGACAACGTACCCCATCTGAGTCAGCGTCTAAGTCTTCTTCTATCATAAGAGCAAGCTTTAGGCAGTAATCACAAAACCCTCTTTTTTTCTTGACAGGCACAAAGTTTGTCTCGTTAAAACAGCCATCACATACAGAAAAGGGGCAGCAAAAACATTGGAAACTCGAACTTCTCTTGCATAAGTAGCAGAAATGCCAGCCTAGAAAACAAATATATGCATGTTTACTAAACAGTGTACAAAATGGTCCAGACGTTAAATATTTTAGAAAAGAAACAATATATAAAAAGGAAAACCCAAATAAAACAGGTTTTCACAAATGAAACAACTAGCACTGGTTTCAGGAAGAAAACTAAAATTAGCAGCAACCTTGAAAAAGTTAAAAAGAATGTTAAACAGTACATCCTGCAATCTCTCTCGCTCTCCCTCTCTCTCTCTCTCTCTCTCTCTCTCTCTCTCTCTCGCTTCCTCTCCCTCTACCTACTTGCAGGAGAAGCTAATTTAAGAGCTCAGTTTGAATCGACACCCCTTACAGTGCAGCTCCCGCAGGCAAATGAATGACAGAGAGTGTAGGCTTTGCAGGAAAAAGGGTTTCACAAAGTACAAACACAAGTTTGCTATTTATAAAAATCAACATACTTAAATAGAAACACTAATTTGGAGATTTCTACTGAAACTGAAGCAATTAAGTCTCATCCAACACAAAAGGCAGTCATGTTATTTCCACCATAGAGAACGCAGCCTGGACCTATTTGTATGCAAAATTGTGGACCTATACAAGGATGGCCTACCAAACAAAATTTCTATGATAGCACTAGAGATCATATGGGTTCATGAGACTGAAATTGGGGAAGAAAAAAGAAAAGAAAATCATTTTACCACAATGCCACTGTTCATTCCCCTCCAAAAAATCCGGTGATTTTCCGACGCAATTAGTATGGTACCCTTTGAGACAAGCCCTGAAATAAACACGAATCACAGTTGGAGAACAGACCTGTGGAATCTCAGGTTTATATTGCAAAACAAGCACATGGAACAAGCTATAGGAAATGCAATATGCTATAATTGGTAACTCACATTTTGATCATCACCAACTCCCACGACATTCATTCTTTTCTAAAATCCCCAATAAAATCTCTCTCTCTCTCTCTCTCTCTCTCTCACACACACACACACACACATGGAACAACATGTTCAATGAAGATACTTTCTGTTAATGTTGGAGAAGCTATAATATAACAATGGGAAAACATCATATTTTCGCCCACCCTGCATCAGAAAATCAGTTTCCCCCATTTCATGTGGACACATTTTAATAGGAGAGAAGAATATACTAAAAAGCCATGAATGCCATTGAAGCGTGAGAAGCAAGATAAGTAACCCAAAAAAAAATAAAAGTCAATAAAATGTAGAGAGAGAGAGAGACCAAAAACTGGTCATCGATACATCAAAAGTGAGATGAAGCACTATATGCATGCGAATTCAGTAGAATGGTGGGTTAGAAAGAGGGCGAGATTCTAAGAAAAAAGCTTAATGTTCAATAATTTTTAGAGAGAGAAAGTACCCAACCCCATGATGCCAGTGAAACAGGAAGCGCAACATAAAAGACCCAAAACATGCAAAATCAATAAATCGCAGAGAGAGAGAGAGAGAGAGAGAGAGAGAGAGAGAACAAACGAACCCAAAATTAGAAGGATACCATTGATACAGGAAAGCTAGATAAAGCACCCAATGCATGCAATTCCATTAACAGAGAGAGAGAGAGAGAAGAACCAATGATTCCATTGAAACTAGAAGAGCGAGATAAAGGAACCACAACATGCAAACAATATACAATGTAGAGAGAGAGAGAGAGATTGAAGGCGTTAATTTGAACAAACTGTAGAGAGAATTCCAACAAATGTAGAGAGAGAAAGAGAGAACGCTTTAATTTCGACAAATTGTAGAGAGAGAGAGGACAGGGGGGGCTACTCACGAGTAGTCACAAACTAAGAGCACCCCACCATCTTTGCAGAGGAAGCAGACATCCTCTGCAATCTCTTCCTTTCTCTTCTTCACCTTCGTCATTTCCCCCTTTCCTTTACTAAACAGTAAACTCTAAGCACCCCAGTAATAGAGAGAGAAGAAAATCACCCCAGTAATGGAGAGAGATGAGGAAATCAAATCACCCCCAGTAATGGAGAGAGAAAGAAACATGTTCTTATAAAGCTTATAATATAAACAGTAGACAGTTAGAGAGAGAGAGGCAGTTGCAGTACTCTATTTGTGCTTGCTCCCCCCCTCAACTACTAATGAAAGTCGGCACTTCAATGAAGTGGAAAGGGCAAAATGTTTTTTAAAAAAAGAGTTTTTTTTTCTTTCGACCCCTTTTTCTTTTTAATCTTGAAACAAGATGGATGCAAGTAGGTGTTCCATTTACAAGCAAGGAAAGCTAATGGTCCAAATGTTTTTTTACTAAAATTATTATTTTAAATTTTTTAAATTTATTTTTTTGTATTCATAATCTCCATATTAGATATTACATCTACTTAAAAATTAACTCTTAAAATCCGTCTTAAAAATATATTTATTAAGAAGCCCGCATTTCTACACTTGCGGGCTTGGCCACATAGAAACCGGGTGACTTTTTTTCTTTTTAAAACCTTTTTAGGGTTAATTGATGATTAAACCTCGTTAGGACTTTCCTATATTATTATCAAATTTGAAAGGTTTGGATGGTGGAGATGAGCTTTCAATGTGAAGGCTTCACATGCAAATTGCTCACAAAATAATTGTGCGGCTGTGATGTCACGTGCCAACGCTTTCATATAGGGATTGGTTTTTGGTGAACCCATGAATTCATTTATTCAAGTGTGTCCTTCTCTCTCTCAAAAGATAGGGGGACTTGTGGCCTCATTGAGAATAAGGTATTTAATAGAGTAGAATGGGATTCATGTAGCTAACCGTAATTAATTGAAAAAAAAAGTTGAAATGATGATAATGATGTGTCTTTTTCTAAAAAGATGTAATTTCTAAAAAGCTTAAGTTTTATTAAAAGTTTAAAACAAAATAAAGCCTTATCTTGAATCTTTGTTCGGAAAGTACTTTGGGCATTGAAATCTCCATGGTGGATTTAAAATAAACTTCCAACACTGACTATGAAATTTGAAGCTCAAAAAATAGTACAGATCTTGTAGATCTATAAATACTTATTTTTAGGGCGAAATAGGTAGTCTAGACAATGTATTATGATATATATTATTTTTAGGACTTGAAATCCGATTTCTTTTTCACAATCATGATAGTCAAGCCCAAGATGATCAATTTAAAAGTTTTCCAACACTAGAATTATGATTTTTGGTGAGTTTTTAGGGGAGGGCTACAACCCTATTAAAATATTTTCCTTTCTAAAGTTTATCATAAAGATGGATTTTAGATCTATGCTAATCACAACCATAATGATGGAGAAGTTGGAAAAAAAATAAAAAAATCAATTTTTTTTAAAAAATAATTTGTGTAAACTATCTTAAATTGAAGATTCGAGGGACGCATGCGTTTTCTGACTCGCCAAACACTTTTCCTTCTTATATAATTGTAGATCAGATACAATAGAGGTATAAGTTTAATATTATATATCATCTTCAAGTTTTTTTTTGTTCCTTAGAAAAAAATTTGAACCAAGATTTCATTGAGAAAAATGAAAGCACAAAGTATGGATGGGACAAAAGCCCCAAAATAAAAAAAAAAGACAAATAAATTAACAAAATGTTAAAACCATGCTGCAAGCATAGATCTAACATTCTTAAGTGATCAATTTTATAAAGAAAATGATTCTATTGGCATCATGCCCGTAGGCCAGATAGACAAGATTGAAAGGGAAGAGATAAAACGGATAAGGAAAAATGGCATATTCATTTTACTCCATGTGTAGATATATATTTTTAGAATATATCAGGATCCGTGTTTAAAAAAACAGATCAGTGACCTAGATCCCCCATCCGAAAAATTAGTCTGGATTAGTGATCCAATAGAGTGAACTGGCCATTAAAAAAATTGAAGAATAGAAAAAAAGTTAAAAAATTTAAAAATTATAAAAGACAAAAGGTAAGGCCGGCCGGTACTCTGACAAAAATTCCTAGGAGCAACTAGACAGTTCACAATACATGGTGAGAATTAGAATGGTACCAACAATTCGCAATCTAGATTAGGTGATTCCGATTGAAGTTGGCATTTTTTAAAATCCTCCTTAAGATAGTACCCTGTTTGGTGATAACCGCCCTCTCCACATTACTTAGTTCTTGAGGTTTGCGCTTTACTCTTCAATAGCTTCATACCACCACAAAGTGACAAAGTAATCATAAATGACTTTATTCAAAGGAAAAAAGTTCATAAAAGGTTGCAAACTTAAAATGTGGAATTAAGGTGTACCTCAAAAACATATCACAGAAGGTTGTTTTGATGTTGGAAACCTCTCAAATTGATCATCTCAACATCGAGATGTATGAATATGAAAAAAAAAAAAAAAAGAAGATTTCGAATCCTAAAAATAATGTATCTTGCAACACATCATCTAAACCTACCATTTTCAAACTTTTCAAGGGTTGATAGATCTACTTGATTTGAACCATTTTTGAAGTTTAATATTTTATAATTAGAGATGAAATAGATTCTCAAGCCATCTAAGAATTTTTTACACCAAAATTATGTTTATGATAAAATTGAGAAATGTACATTATTTAAGGTTGCAACCTTATACAAACCACACCCATATTTAAAAACGAGTTTTACAAAGAAAAAACTTCTAATGGCAACTGCTGAGCTATATAATATAGAGGTGCTAGTAAATTTTATTTGCTTTTAAATGAAATTCAACTTCATTATGCAGGTTATGTACCACCCTTTCCTATTAAAAGATGGTATAAAAATGAATATTAGAAATTTAAAGTAAAAAGATAAAGAAAAGTGTACAATATGACTATTTACTTTTAGTGTAACGAGGTCACAATTAAGGTTGACCATAAAATTTAAAACTTATTTGTGCTATTGATCGGGCAGAAGGTCCAAAACTGAAATTTCTCATACTTCTTACCTATTCCGACCCGTCAGATTTCACATTTAAAGTACTTAGTGACCTCCTTGCACAGAAAGTAAACGGCTTTATAAAATACAGATACCAAGAAAAGTATTGGTGCTCCCATAGGAGCAAATTCTGCACCTACATTGCCGCTTTAGATCTTGTTCATCTCACTAATAAATTCTTCAACAAAGGAAATAATTTTGCGCCACAAAAATTATCCAAATAAAACTTCACTCCAACAACGAACTCAAATCCCTCATCAATAGGAGGTCAAATCTAGGTTTTTAAGAACTTAAAAACTTTGTTTTAAAATTATAAATCACAGATATTTCACGGACTTTCGCATCAAGAAAACCCGGCAAACGGGCCATTTTGCTTGCTGGAATAAGTATCCAATTTGCTCCCACAGGAGCACGTAATATGTAACCTTTACAAATCCATAAATTCATTTTAAAAATTAATGGCTACTCTTTATTTGCAAAACATTTTTATGACAAAAAAAAAAAAGAAGAACAAGAAACGTATGTTGCAAAGTCAGGTAACAGGGACTAGGAACTAGCACACGAATGGCCATTATTTAGATCCTACCTTACCCACCAAAAGAAATTTAAAAGTAGAGCCATTTTTATGGGGAAATGGCAATATTTGAAATCAAGGGGGACGCTTCCAATTCTATAAGTCTTTGCAATAAATAAATAATACAAGATGTTTAATTATTACCAGAAGAAAGAATGAAGTCAAGGGAGCTCAAGAGACTCATTTAGCTACATGGTGCACCCTACTAGCTTTGTATCAAGGGAACGATAGAGCGGAATGAAAGAGCAGGACTCGTGTAACCGACCTCAAATAGTTGCAATAAGGCTTGGATGATGAAAAAGAAGATGATGATCCTCCTTAATAGCTTTGTGGTCAATCCCCATCAAGCCAGAGATTAAAAAGTCGCACTCAGCCTCTAACTTGGAGGGCTCGAGCCCGAATGTGCCACTGTTCCAACTCAGATGAGCTCAAGTTCGATCAAAGAATTTCTAATACAGAATTTCAAAAATATGAAAAATTGAGACTCAGGATATTCTATGGTATTTTCGTTTGAAATCACTTGGCTGCTGATCCTTGGGTTTGACCGGGCGAGTTCGAGTCACACCACACTTAACATCTTGGCCATGTAGCTTCATAGCAGCAAACTCTTGATATTGGTATGTACCAAGCTAACCCCCGTCTTTTTCTTAGTTCCACATTCATCCATAAACCTTCTTACGTGTGAAGCCTCTTCCCACCTCCCACACTGAGCATAGAGCCCAGCCAGCATTACATAGTGACCATCGTGCTCCGGCTCGATCTCGATGAGAAAATTTCCCAATTTTATGCCTAGTTCGGTCCACCCGTGGGTCCCGCACGCGCTCAGCAACGAGCCCCATATTGCGGTGTCCGGCTCGAATGGCATCTTATAAATGACCATTTTGGCCTCCTCCAGGAGCCCGGCTCGAGCCAATAGGTCAACTATGCATCCATAGTGTTCCATCTCAGGCTCCAGATGGTAGTCCACAGTCATGGCCCTGAAGTAGTGCATGCCGAGCCTCACGAGGCCACTGTGAGCGCAGGCGTGCAGTACGCCCACTAGTGTGGCCCCCTCAGGCTCCAACCCATGCAGGATGAACTGTTTGAATAGGCTCAACACGCATGCCCCTAGCCCGTGCCTGGCACATGCACATATCATCGCGTTCCATGCAGGTGGGTCGCGAGTCTGCATGGCCCCAAAAACCTCTGATGCAGGACCCACACAGCCACACGTGGCATACGCCTGCAGGAGAGCAGTCCCTAGACTGGGAGTCAAGGGGAAGCCCTGCCGATTGATATACTCGTGGGCCAAGTGGGTGAATTCCAGTGCCTCGAGCTTAGCGGAAATCGTCAACACGGAGACGAGCATTCCCTCAGTGATCAATGCTCGACTCTGTCGTGCCATATCTCGAAACAAGTTCAAAGCCTGAGTGAAATACTCATGTTTCACATATCCAGTTAGCATTGTGCTCCAGGTGATGGAATCCTTTGTTGGAATTGTGTCAAAGAAATTGCAGGCCTCGACGAGCATGCCAAAGTTCGCGTATGCAAAGAGGATGGTGTTATAGGACACAGTGTCTGGGTTGGGGTCTCTATTGAAAACCAGTTGAGCATTTTCAATCTCATTTCGAGTGGCATAAAGGTGGAGGAGAGAATTTGCGACGTAGGAATCTGAACTGAGGCC